TCGCCTCTTTCATCACAACCCGCCGCAATTGTGCCTCCTCTACCAATCACGAAGGCTTATACCACTCGGTCAGGCCGTAGGGTGAGGTTTAAAGTCCCCGCAGTTTCATAAGTTTTTTTTCTTTTTCTTTCTTATGGTGGATCCAAGTTTTTTTTAGTTTTTTTTTGCCGTGGGCTATCTTTCTTCGTGGGGGGGTAGTGTAGCGGTAAGCAAAACTCTTTGCGCCGGGTATAGGCTACGGCGGTTGCGATGGTAACCAGGTTGTTGTTGATGTCAGGAGAACGTCAAGTAGTAAAATAGGAGATTTTACAATATATTATATTTTATTCAAAAGTGACTACGTGAGTTTCCATATTAAGCCACGTACCCTTTAGTAGGTACTTATTTTTATGTTGTAATTTTTTCACAAAAAGAACTATTTTTTTTCTAGTTTCACCAATCGACTGCGACAAACAAACAAACATAAATGCCTCAAATACAACTATACATATAGATAATACATTCCTGTATAATAAATACTACAAGTAACTTACATAATCGCCATAGATTAGCAACCATACATTTTCATATCTGCAAAAGTGTGACATTCCAAAACACTAAAAAATGCTTACATTTTTTTATTCATACGATAAATTAAGTACAAGTCATGGGTGAAGAGACCCACTTTTTCACCTTTATGCTGTAAAGATGTTGAAAGCCAGGTTAAAGGTCCTAACACACTTATCAACCCAGAAAGGGATCAACACCGTATCGCCGTTCGCTGCCAGGCGAGGCGTTTACGTTACGGTGCGAATAAGAGTGCGTTTCAGTACGGAGTTTCATACAAAGAATACTGACCGCCTAGATCCGTTGCCGGGTTGATAAGTGTGCTTCGTCCTTAAAGATCCTATTAAGGTATTCACAGATTTCTGTTACATTGAAGAATCTATGCGTTTTAAATAAATTAACAAAACATTATAAACAAGATATAAAACAGTACTTACTTATACATTTTCCATTATTTTCACATCAATTATTTTAATCATACATTTAATAGACAAACATTTAGTAAAATATTAGGTACATGATTTTAATTAGACATTGAATTATAATTCTATATTAAAGTTTTCTACTAAAGCAAAAAATACTGATGAAACTAAAGTAAATTGTCAATAATCCATAATGAGAAATCCAAAAAGCATCAAGTAAGCTACAAGTAAGGGCAAGTGTTGCATATAACAGTCTACTATCGATAGTAAAAAACGGGACTATTCCCACCTCTAGTTCCCACTGCAACTCCTGTGTAGCCAGGATCTACAGCTTGACCGCCAATAACCCGAACAGTGAAGGTCAAGTTTGTCCCGGGGGAAAGTTAAACTGTCATTGGACCCGCAATGAAATTAATCAGAAGAACACAGGAGTTCGAAGTTAGGGTCCGACTTCCCTTGCAAAGCGGATGTGACAGGTGATATCCAACATCATCAAAATATGTTTTACAGTTCGTTCTTGTCTGTAAACTTATAACAAATAATATAAGCTTTATTACGTTATAGTTACGGCACCTTTCAAACTTAAATAACTTAATATAATCAGATGTTCCTTATTGTCTTTGATACATAACGTTAATATTACTTTCAAATACGTATATCAACTCCACCAGTTTCAGGATGGATACAGAATATATTGGCATAAATATACAGGGTGGAAATGATAAGTGATCTCACTCGGTTATTTGTAAATTAAAAAGATATCGAAAAACTGGTCACTGATCCTGAAAGTGCTTCACGAGCTCTATCAAACGGTATCAATAAAAGGTTACAGAACAAACTGGATCTATCCGAAAATTCAATGTTTCCAGCTACCATTTTTTTTTTTGTATATACATACAGAGAAAAAGCTCAGTAATTTTGTATCCATCCTGCATGGTATTTATTCGTAATTTCGTATGAATTTCCTGGACGCAACATTTTTTTCAAATTTTATAAAATTTCTAAAATAAAAATACCTATTTATATATCAGAGAGCAAAATAAAAGTAGATAAGCGTAGTGAAATTACTCAATTGACTTTCTTTAGGCCATCCTTGGACATTTTACACTGCACCTCTAGTCCCAAACTAAGCAGAGCTTGTGCTATGGGCACTAGACAACGGATTTAAACATACTTAATTTTTTTTTTTTGCAAATACACACATAAAAATAATATTTCGAATTAGGCGTCAACCTGTAAATAGTTACAAGTCTGGAATAAATAAATATTATCATACATAGAACCACTATTTTAATAGTCCATGCAAATAAAGGAATATTGACTTTGAAACAAATTCCCGATTAAAACTGTCGAAACACAAACTATCGATGTTTCGGCAACACTACTGTCTAAACCGTGACTTTGTCCAATTTTACAGTTATCTGTTACACCTAGTGTCACGTGACAATTTTTTAAACCCCATTCGATAGGTTAAAAGTTGAACTAAAATCTTTAATAGCAGCCGAAATACATGTATATTTGGTCGTGTATAATACAATATTTGCACCTTTATTTATATACTATGTATAAAACTATAAATAGGTACAGTCGTTGGCGGTGGATGTTATTTTTCAATAAAAATGTACACTAATGTGTGGCCGACTGTACAATTTACAGGTACAATACCAATTTATATTAGGATATTTATAATTTTTAATTTATAATTAGTATTAGATACATTATAATTGAGAAAAAAAAATCAAAGTAGAGTAATTTTTGACCAAAAAATAGTAAAAAAAAACAGTAGGTATAAAGTTTTCGATTTTTATTTACTTATCTATTTTTTTTGTTAAATATTTTAATACAGAGTATAAAAGTATTAATCATACATTTTAAATACTGGAAGTTTTTTTTTCGCTACAATTACTTTATTATAATTCGAAAAAGATTTTTTAGTTTTTTATTTCTTCATAATGTTATTTTAAAAACTAAAACCATTAACTATTGTACTATTACTATAGAGTATTTTTGGACTAGTTCATTAAATATTTAAGTACTTTGGCCGAAAAATGGAACAAAAAAGTTTTGAGACATTTTGCAGAAAATAACCATAAAAAAATCTAAACAACAGGCATTATTATAATGTAATAATGGGCGTTATAATAATCGATAATAAAAATAGTTTTTTTAAATCTATAAAAAATAAAAAGAAGCTGACAATAAATTTTTAATCGTGTTGGTTTTTTCAGCATAATTCAAAATATTTATTAGTAGGCCCTTTTAAATTGAATTTAATGCATGTAGTTTAGACTTTTCTATTGTTTTGCATTTAAAACTTTTTTTAAGCTAAATTTCGCTTATCGTTATACGTGTGCCTGCTATGAACGCCTAAAATAGTGTTGTCGATTTATCGATTACATAAACTTTCTGTGTAAGATGACGCAACAACACTAGTCTAAAGAACAGTGCGACATTACCGCTAATTCCTTGTATAATTATGTCACTGGAAGATAACAAGATCCGTAAGTTTATAAATTTCCTAGGAAAGGAGAATGCCCAAAAGTGGTATCGCTCGAAATCTAATTGTACATTGAGGGTACCACACCGTAAATTCCTTTCTTCATTTGTAATGATTTGCGAAAGTAGTAAGAAATTGTAAAACCTCCGGAATAAAATCCGATTTTAATAAAAAGTATTGTAACAATGAGCTGCAATCAGCAACACCTATCACCGAGCAACGACACTACGTAGTTCGCACGGTTGTCAATAGATGGCGCTGTTCGTAGTTAGATCGCGATATCATTTGATTTTTTCCTGTCCTTAAGTAGTCAGGGCTAACCACAAATCCCTTTCCGCTTGCAAAATGGTATAAATAACATTGGTATGCACGCAAGATTATTTTGTGTTATATCTGATCCTTATCAAATAACGCTAGCTTTGGCGTAGCTAGGGTTTTTTTTAGGCAGGGTAACTATCCACAAATATAAAACAAGTATTCTAAGGTAAAACCTGTAGCTATGCCAATGGACACCATTCATTTCACTTAAACCAAAATTACGTCAAAGTCCGGAGTTTTATAAAAAAAAAAATAACTGTGCCAAATAGTCCTGTATGCATACTATAAATTAAGCTTTATTCGAAGTCGTTTCAAGTCACTTCAAAAATCCATTGGTGTCAGGTCCGAGGATCGTGGTGGCCAAGCTACTGGACCCCTCGTCCAATCCACTGTTCACCAAACGTATTATTCGCGCACTTGACGTCCTTATTGTGGGGGAGCACCATCCTGCTGGTAGTAGAGCATTTGGTGTAATGCTAAGGGTACGTCATCAAGCATTTCGTCTAAGACGTCTTGCAGACACTCCAAGCACCATTTTGATTAAATTATTCGTTGTTTGAATACACTTCACTCATTTTTGTATTATTTATAACGTGATTTGTGTTTGATGGATTTCTCAGTTTTTTACAAGTGTCAAAAAGACATTTTAAAGACAATAGATTGCAATAGATATTTAAAAATACAATAAAAAGTAAAAAAGTCTCCATCGCCATCGCCAACAAGTGATGTGCATGCGTTACGATAATTAGTGGTGTGTTTAACAGATTGTCGATAAAATAAAATTCTCTAGATTAAAAAAAAAAATTTTCGGGCATTATTTTTTTACGGATTTGTGTTCAGTATCAGTAATATAGTAACCTCTGTAAATATGGCAAGAATGCAAAGTAACACCCTGTAGTTTCTTAATAATTGCCTGTTGCTCTAAAGCCTTGTATCCACTTGAGCGGCTCGGCCAAATGAGCCGCTCATTCGCCTGAGCATGCTCAAGTGGATGGACAAGGCTTAAGACACTGCAAACAGTATGTTAGACGGAATCCTGCAAAAAACCGGACTCACTTCTCACTATAGACTCGTAACTGCAGCAATCCGGTTTTGCAGGATTCCGCAAAATTGCACTCGACTCCAGCAAAACTGGATCCGGTAACTGCGGGATTCGTTAATAGTGACTAATGTAACTCGTAGTAGACCAGAGTGAAGATTCTAAGGGCTCACGCTGCGCCATTTTAGTTACTTACAATAAATTGCCTGCACATTTGCGAAAACTGTTCTACTGTAAATTAATAAACACTGTCTCCGTCTCCACGTGTAAAGAGACCGCCGCTTCACTTATCCCGGGTCACGCGGAGTGGTCGAGCAATCGGCGCTGTTCGTCGAGACAGCGCAGGTCGCCGTTACGCTGCTCGGGCGAAGCGCGCGATACAAACGAAGCGCGCGTGTTCGGAGACGCCGACACTGGGAGGGCTGATACAGTGGTGCGGGATCCAGTCAACTGGATGAAGATTCTAAGAGAGAGTTACTAAATGCAGTTTTTGCGGGATCCCGCAATATACGGAACTCACTTTGGGTCGCTGGGGGACACTGCAAACGGGATGTTCGTATGCTATTTGAAAACGTACTAAAACGGGATCCTGCGTCACGGCGTCATCTTAGTTACATAGTTTGTTAATAATTGCCTGTTGTTCTGACACTGCAAACAGGATGTTAAACGATCCTGCAAAATGCAGTACTAAATGAGATCCAAAAAAAGTTACTGCAAAAAACGGGACACACTTTGTGGCACTAAGACACTGCAAGGAGGAAGTTAAGCGGGATCCTGCAAAATGACCACTTTGGGTCGCTGCGCCATCTTAGTTAGTTGCCTGCACATTTTACGAACTGTTCTACTGTAAATTAATAAACACTGTCTCCGTCTCCACGTGTAAAGAGACCGCCGCTTCACTTATCCCGGGTCACGCGGAGTGGTCGAGCAATCGGCGCTGTTCGTCGAGACAGCGCAGGTCGCCGTTACGCTGCTCGGGCGAAGCGCGCGATACGAACGAAGCACGAGTGTTCGGAGACGCCGACACTGGCAGTGGGTTGGGTGATACCTGTCTGGATGGTGTCCGGTGTTCACCAGTGATGCTGGTGTCCTCATCTACAGATTGGAGCAACTGTGAACAAAACAATAAATTATATTAAATAATAAATATCCTTGGACATTTTACACTGCGCCTCTAAAGCCCGGTCCGTGAGCACGTAGAATCCCGTCCAATGACCCCAAGCTACCCATTCTTATCGCTCGCGCGTAATTATATTGCTGTCGCGACTGTGCGACTGGCACCCGCAGTGAGTGTGCGAGCGCGATAGCAACATAATTACGCGCGAGCGATAAGGATGGGTACCTAGGGGTCATTGGACAAAATTCTACGTGGTCACGGACCAGGCTTTAGTCCCAAACTAAGCAAAGCTTGAACTATGGGTACTAGACAACGGATATAAACATACTTTACTTTTTTTCTTGAAATTTTTTTAGTTACGAAACTATGAATCAGCGCCATCTATGTTATTTATCATGTACTATATATTACTTGTACGATTTTCACCACCGGTGGGGGACAGTCAGCGTCAAAATACAGGGTGTTGATTTCAATCCTCGCCATATTTATTTTGGTGATCTATTATGACTTATAGAAACGCATTATCCACCAAATAAAAAAAACGAACAATTAGATTATTTTCCGTGCGACATCAACTGTACTGTGGCTCGCAATATTGCAATTTACACTGCGGCACTATCGAGTTACGCGGATCGCTCGCTTATCATATCGGATAGCCTACTGAGGCAAGCCACGTAAAGTAGGTAGTGTAAATAGGTATTTTACTTTGACTAACTAAAGTTCAAGTTCGTTTTAAATTTTTTCGAAGCGAATTTTTTTACTGATTCGATCAGAATAAGCTACTTAATCAACTCCCTAAATATAGCGAGGATTGAAATCAACACCCGGTTCGTACACCGACACCCGAAGTAGCCAAAAAGTTCGTAACGTCTTTGTTACAATTGAAATTAGGTTACGTTGAACTTTTTGGTTACTTTGGGTGTCACGAACTAGGTATTTGACGCTGACTGAACTACGGGGAATATACGATTTGGAATAGGATAGGTGGAAATGGGAAACAAGGTTCTGGTACAAATGTCTTTCGCGCACATGTCTTTTCGCGCTAACGTCCATTCGCGCTAGTGTCTTTTCGCGCAAGTGACCATGCGTGCAAATGGCTTTTCGCGCAAGTGTCCCAATACGGGAACGTAACACGTTGTAACATAGGGGCCATCCATAAAGTACGTCACACGTAAAGAGGGGGGGAGGGGGTTGACAAAGTGTGACATGGTGTGACAAGGGGTGGGAGGGGTCCTAAGTTTCGTGACATCACATTTAAATTGTTTCAAATATTTGGCTAGCGACAAGGGGGGGTGTTTTTGAGACGTCAAGCGACAGTGAGACTTCAGTTTTTTTTTTTTTTTTTACTATTAGGTACGGAACTATTCCCACCTCTCGTTCCCACCACTGCAACTCCTGTGTAGCCAGGATCTACAGCTTGACCGCCACAAAAACCCAACCAATGAAGGTCAAGTTTGTCCCGGGGGAAAGTTAAACTGTCATTGGACCCGCAACGAAATTAATCAGAAGAATATAGGAAGAGTTCGAAATTAAGGTTCGACTTCCCTCCATTGCAAAGCGGATGACAGGTGACAAACAAAGGTTTAAAACCTTTAAGAAAAGATTATGCACCACGGACAATAAATTAAATTAAGGGGGCCTATCTTATGAGCAATTAGCAACTACCTGCCAATAATATTTACTATTAGGTAGTGATTCTGCCAATGTCAAGTGTTTCAAGGAGACAATTTTAGTCCGCTTCAGTATCGACTTCAGATTATGCTTCACATTTGAATGCTGTTGTTCGGGATTCTTTATAGATATCTACTCGATGAAGGAGACACTGTTTCGTGTTTCAAACGGTTTACTACTTGTTAAAAGGAAATACATTAAATTGCGTAGTTGCTAGAACGATGCAAAAACCAAAGCCGTGACAGCCGCGCGCGAGGGCCCAGCGGGCGCGGGCGGTGGGGCACGCGGCGTAGTGATGTTCTTGGGAACAGCTGTCATGTCATAATATGTCAATGTTACTCCTCCCGTGCTGCTCTCAAGCAATGATTGAGTTAAGCGTTAGAACTATAATCGAACTATTTACATTGTTTAATTAATAATAATACTGACGACTAAAATGATTTAACCAACTTTCGATTTACGTTTACTTTTCTACAAGACGAGGGAAAAATACAGATAATACAACCCGATCGAGCTAACTGCGCATTTCGCTGGAATGCGACTCTTCCTTGCACTCAACCGCACACCTTGCGTTCCCGCCCGTGCCAGAGCGTCGATGTGACGTCACGGCCGCCAGATACGCAGCTAACTGGACCGGGTTGTAATACAGATGATATTAAAGATGACCCACACTGAACTGTCCCACCAAACTCAATGACAGGGGGGCGCTACCATCGTTCAACTATATGGTTTCCAACATGGCAAAAATCGGAACCAGCAATCCAGTATTGACGGTGGCGCCCCACTGTCAATGTCATGGATAGGACAGTTCAGTATTTTGGAACTATACTACTATTACTTACGTCAAAAAGTTCGGGACACCAAAGTGACCAAAAGTTGACAACACAACCTTATTCCAATTGTATCAAAGACGTGTTGCGAACTTTTCGGCTACTTTGGGTGTCACGAACTATTTGACTGTAACTGGTACCACAGAATAATAATAAGTACTACGTACAGAAGTTTTACTTCGCGAAAGTATTTAAAAAAATGTATGCTCAATGTCATTAACAAAATGGTGTAATTTAGCCTGTCTCAAGAGTCAAGCACCATTTTGTTGACAAACGTCAGTGATCGGCACTGCGCCGAAGCTATAGGGCTGACTTCGGTAAAATGATGTGACGTGAGGTGCCAAATGTGAATGAATTATCATGAATAATATTAACTACTTATTTACCTCTCAGTGTCTTGAGGCAACTTAAAACGTACATTCTGTGTTTTTGTTATTATTTAGGCAGTTAAATACTGCACAGTATTTAGTACACCTTTTTCTTCCATCATACACAAGAATACGCGTGCGTGAATCAATGTTCGCTCATGTGAGGCCTTGTCGAATATTATCCTGTAGGTGGGCCATCGTGCGTGTTTTGTTTTCGATGTAAACTCGCGGAGATGAACAGGCCTGCTGGTACTATCGGCCGTATTCACAAACGATGCTTGCTTAAGTGAGGCAGCAAATCGAACGCACAGCGTTGAATAGAGCTCTGTGATTCATGTGTCACCCTGTACGTCCACGCGTACTGTGAGACCTCATAGCAATGTTTGTGAATACGGACGTATGTCAATCAAAACCTCAAGTCTGATCTTTCTTCTCCAATATCCTGATGATTTTCGACAGCTGCATCAGAACCAGTCTATCCGTCTCCGCTCTTCTCTCCCTCTCTCTTTCATATCTCGATACCGAGTCGTAATCGATCGATTCCCGTTCGTATTCGAGTCGGTCACTATCATCGAGCGACGAGCGAGCGTACTCAGTTACATCTATATGGGAAATAATTCAATAATATTGTTGTATATTTATTGTATAGTTTCTGAGTAACATCTCACTGCGTTATGAGTTTATCGATATTTCAACGTGAAATTGTGAACTCCGTCAGTTTATAATATAACGCGTGAGATTGTAAACTACCGGTGGGTTAGATTGTTATCTAACTACGTCAGACTAAAATCTGACGGAATTCACAATTTTACGGTGTCAGATACAAAACTACAATTTTTTTATTGTCCAAAGAAAGGTTTTTGTAGTTTGGTAAAATAAGCCCAAATATGGCGTAGAATTCATCTTCTTTTACTAGGGTAGGAACTTCGGTTAACTACAGTCAGCGTCAAATAGTCCGTGACACCCAAAGTGGTCAAAAAGTCGACAACACAACCTTATTCCAATTGCAACAAAGACGTGTCACGAAATATTTGACACTGACTGGCTAAGAACTCATGGCGCGATTTTCACCCGCGCCCGCAGCGGTTGCGGGCCCGCAGCTTCTGTATAATGCAGATACTTATTATGTAAAAACTAATGCACAACTCACGACGAGGTTTTCACCCGCAGCGGGCTCGGTTGAAATCGGGTCCCGCTCTGCGGTTTTCGCCCGCGCGAAAACCGCCCGATCGGCGGGCGACCATTTTGTACCAGTGACTTAGCACGCGGAAATCGCGCCGTGAGTTCTTAGAATAACCGCGCAAATTAACCGCTCCCGTGAGTTTTGAAATAAAACCGCAATTCCACAACCGCCGCGGGCGCGGGTAAAAAACGCGCCGCGAGTTCTTAGCCTGTCACTGGACTACGTATCGATTAAAAATCGATTTCAACTCGAAACATCGTTCTGATACGAACTAACCTTTGTTGGCGCGCTGATTCGTCTCATCATCATCATTGGGGGTCAGATTATGTACCGTTAAGAGTGAAGAGTCCGTGTGAAAGGTTGTCTTCTTCTTTTTACTGAATTCTGTATCTGGTGGAGACGGTGATAGGTCTAGCGCTTAATTCAGTCAGTGCCGAGGTATGGGAGCGGCACGGGAGGGTGATTATGTGAGACGGTCAAACGTCTCAGTGAGACTTCAGATTTGAAGACCCTGTCACGTCATAATATGTGTTCTACCTTACTGTCAAACGGTGAGTGGCAGTGTTGCCAACAGCTACCAAAGGCTCGTAGCTAGGAATTTAACAGAAAGTTGCTAGATTGAGTATTTTTTCTCCCTAAAAAGTAGCTAGAAGTAGCTGAATTCCGTTAAATAAAATACTAAAGAAATAAAACACTGAAGTTAATAAATCAGCTATAAACTTTAAAATCAACTTAACTTTAATACTGTGACTACTTAATTAACAAAAAAAGAAGACAATATTTTTATTATCTACCGATTTAAGTGAGTCGAATCGTAATTGCTAATACTAATTTTGTTTGTCGGGTATGCCGCTACCATAACTTTGTAAAAATATATCATAATCAATAGTTGCTAGAAAAAGTAGCTAAAAAGTTTAGCTACAGTTAAAAAAAATTGTAGCTGCCTGACATCAAAAAGTTGCTAAATCTAGCTATAAAGTAGCTAAGTTGGCAACACTGGTGAGTGGTTCACTGTCACTGTGGCGTGCTGTCACACTGTCACTGTGGCTCGATGTCACATTTTCACTGTGCCTGGCTGTCACACTGCACCTTTATCTCATTGTAAAAACTCATTCCCACCTCTCGTTCCATCCGCTGCAACTCCTGTGTAGCCAGGATCTACAGCTTGACCGCCAATAAAAACCCAACCAGTGAAGGTCAAGTTTGTCCCAGGGGAAAGTTGAACTGATATTGGACCCGCAACGAAAATCAGAAGAACATAGGACAAGTTCAAAGTTAAGGTTCTTACTGACAAACGCTGACTATTCCTTACTCTAAAACCGTCTCACAAAATCACCCTCCCGTGCCGCTGACATACTCCAGGCACTGACTGAATTAAAAAACTCATTTATTTTTGCAAATAGGCTTTTAAAAAGCACTTTTACACGTCCCAGTATTAAATGGTATGGTGAAGTCAGAAAATTGTTATCATTATTTTAATTTTCATACAAATCTGATTTTATAATTTTTATTTTAATATCATAATTTTTATTTTAAAATTTTCATTCAAAATATAATTTATGGTCAGATTTGTATGAAAATTAAAATAATGAAAATGATGATATCAATTTTCTGACTTCACCATACCATTTATATGCATTATGTTAACATGGGCTAGTATCGGCTTATAAACCCATTTACCTAACACCCTGTAGATTGAAATTAACACGGGCAAATATACTTTAAAATAAAAGTAGAAACTAACCATTGATTTTAATGTCATCCACGCTCTTATTCAAAACGGTTTTGGCCATCCAGTAGTCGTTCTTCAAACATTCATCACAAACATCTGTGTCCAGTTTCTCTTTCCTCTTCAATTGCTTAGAATCTTGATTAAATTCGATTATCGGATACTCTTGATAATTTATTTTAAAATCTTGCAACTGATATTTTTCTGAACAAAACTCGTAGGGGCTGGACCAAGATTGGGCCAAACATTTGCCGTCTGTTCGCTTTTCAGTTTTGGGTCCAATGTTGGGCAGACATTTGCCGTGTTTGTCAAAATGTCTGCTGTCGGTGTTGCTAGGATCGTTAGCGGAGGACGTGACGTCGATTTTTTCTGATGACGTGTAATTTTGTTGTGGCAACACTTGCATTAGTTCGATTATGTTCGTTCTTGGTGACGTCTACGAGTGGATAAGTTGTTTTATTCAAAGATTTGTATTATAAATAAAACTCATTTATTTTTGCAAATAGGCTTTTAAAAAGCACTTTTACACGTCCCAGTTATAACCCTACCACTTCTTCGGGACAATAAGGCGATTATCACACTGCACCGCGCTCCGCCGCGGTCCGCGTGGCGACATAATTATAACGAATTCCGCGCGCAAACGCGTTGTCAGTGTGTTGTGCCGCGCGTGTTTTCTATACAAACTGAGGTGTAAATCTGTCGTCCCGCGTACCGCGGCGGAGCGCGGTGCAGTGTGATAATCGCCTAAATGGGCCAGTGCTGAGAAGAAGCACATAGGTCTAGCGAACTCAGTCAGTGCCTGAGGTATTGGAGCGGCACGGGAGGGGTGGCATTGACATTATGAATTGACAGTGACAGAGCATACAAATCCGGTCTCGCTGACGTTTCACGTCAACAAAAACACTCTTCCGCTCAGGGCCGGATCGTGAATTTGTGGGACCCTGAGCCCCGATTACGGTAACTTTTAACGTCTACAATCCAGACGCGCTTCATCGATTCTGTGATACGATTGGTCAAAACAGCTGACGTACGCTGTTGAACGACCAATCGTATCGCAGAATCGAGAAACGTGTCTGGATTGGAGACGTTAAAAATTACCGTAATCGGGGCTCTGGGCTGTAACTTCTTATGAGGTTGTCGAGTAAAAATATCGTCCGTAAACCGACTTTACAGACTTTTTTTTTTTTCATATTATGGCCTACTTTTTAGCGGGATCTGGGGGCCCCTTGTAACCCCGGGGCCCTGGGCTGCAGCCCAATCAGCCCATAGGTAGATCCGGCCCTGCTTCCGCTCCCTCCCGTACCTCAGGCAATGACTGAGTTATGTGCTAAACCAGTGGTTCTTAACCTTTAAGTCATGAGGGACCATTTTACCAAATTTCTGTCTTGTCAGGGACCACCTCATAATCGGTCAAAACCAGTTTGACTGCAAAAAACAGTTAAAAGTGGTTTTGACCATCGTGGACCACTTGGAATGCCTCCAGGGACCACCAGTGGTCCGCGGACCACCGGTTAGGAACCACTGTGCTAAACCTATAATTTGAGATATAAAAAGTATCTACTATCTTTTCGCTTTAATTTTGCCGCTGGCGATATGACGTCACTCGAAGAAAAGCATCTATAACTTTATCAAACTACATTAAAATATTTTTTATTTATTATTATTGATAAAAATTGTGTATTTGCGTAAAATAAGACACATTAATGAGGGTTTTCGCGAATGGAAAATCCGCCAGATGGCAATACGTAGACGCGAGGTCCAAATGCTGCATGATTGGTTATTTTTGACATGACATTGACAGATATGTCAAAATCCACCAATCACGCAGCAGTCAGACCCCACATCCACGTCCCGCCATCTAGCGGATCTTTCATTCGCGAAAATCCTCATTGCGTTTAATCACTAACTAATTGCGTTTAATCGCGGTTGGGGGAGGGGACGCGCATTCCACGGACCGGCAAACTTAGCGCGAACGGGTAGTATATTGTTTAAATACGTAACTTCATAAGTTAAGACCTATAAATTGAGATATAAAAATTATCTAAAGCCCGGTCCGTGAGCACGTAGAATTTTGTCCAATGACCCCAAGCTCCGCATCCTTATCGCTCGCGCGTAATTATATTGCTGTCGCGACTATGCGACGGGCGCCCGCAGTGAGTGTGCGAGCGCGACAGCAACATAATTACGCGCGAGCGATAAGGATGGGTAGCTAGGCGTCATTGGACAAAATTCTATGTGCTCACGGACCAGACTATATTTGTGTTTAAATACGAAACTTCATGATAAATTAACCTTATTTAACGTAGAAGTGGATTCCAATACATCGGCGTTAGTAGACGCCGTGCTTGTTGATTTACCGAACAATTTCTTGGATATCATTGATATGGGTATATTACCGCTTGATTGGCATAGGTGCTGGAAAATAGGGAGAGGGTAAAAGGAGGGGGTAAGATAGGTAGTTCCTTTGTGGTTGAAGATTTCGGGTGAAACTCGCTTACACCTTCGGCCTAGGGTTTCTGCTCGAGCTTTCTCGAACTCGAGAAAACTCGAGAAATTTGGCTTCATTCGAGACGAGAAAAAAATTACCGGAGCTCGAGAATTCTCGAGTTTCGATTTTGAAGCATTAATATTTTTTAAAGCCTATTTTCTTAGACAAAAGTGAGTTTTTAATTATTTAATAGGTTAACGTTGCGTTTAGACTGGCCTAGTCTTTCCTTTTTTTAACTAATTTGATTTGCAAGTAATGATCTCAACCGAAACTAATAATGTTCACCTACGAGTATGTTATAGTTTATTATGTTTGTATAACTGACTGATTTAAAGACTGAAAATTTTTTGTTAACTATCTGTTAGTTTAGGTACTCGTAAATACGTTCATTCAAGTGGTTATCTTTAAATTTAAAAATGTATTAAATTTTTTTTGTTTGTTTTGTAAATGTAGGTTTATTATCGTAATTTTTCTATTAATTTGGACTTGTGTTATTTGAAAAACAAGTGATTCAATTGGAGCTCCAGATATTTATGGTTATTTATCCTTAAAGTACACGCGACTTTATAACTTTTGTTCCTTTAGTTACTAACTAAGTTATGATTATCCTACTAATATTATAAATGCGAAAGTTTTATGTGGATGTCTGGATGTTTGTTACTCTTTCACGCAAAAACTACTGAATGGATTTTGTTAAAACTTTACAATATTATTGATTATAACCCAGACACATTATAACATTAATAAAAACCCGTGTTTTTATTAAATTTCAACCGATTTCAACAGTTTTAATTAAAAGACTCGAGACCCGAGAAAACTCGAGACTTTGGCCTCGAGAATTCCCGAAACTCGAGAAAAAAAATAGGTCGAGAAATCAGAAACCCTACTCGGCCTGATCATCACTTACCATCAGGTGAGTTACAGGCCAAGAGCTTCCTCGTTGTGGATAAAAACAAAAAAAGTTAAATTGCCCCACTTTTCTTGCGCTTACTGTCTATCGAGGCTTTATTAGACCTAATGTGAATGCTAATGTGGTTATGCAATAAACGATTGAGTATTGAGTATTAATTTATAGTCTATAGTCGAAATTTACCACTCACCTTATCTACTTCGGTGTCGAACTGTTCGTTAGTGGCTCCTTTAGACAGAGCTCCTTTTTCCATTAGAGTAGCCCTTTTGGCCGCCAGATAGAGGGATCTGAAAATATAGAAATAAATATCATATTAAGGCACCGTCACTGTTTTAGAGTAAGGCATGGTCTGAGTTTGATAGTCGTGTAGAGTGACACAGCAAGCCACATTGACAGTGTGACAGCTATCCACAGTGAGAATGTGACATCAAGCCACAGTAAGAATGTGACAGCGAGCCATATTGACAATGTGACAGCGATCCACAGTGAGAATGTGACATCAAGCCACAGTAAGAGTGTGACAGCGAGTCACATTGACAATGTGGCAGCTAGCCACAGTGACAGTGTGACAGCGAGCCACAGTCAGCAGGGCCGGATCTACCTATGGGCTGATTGGGCTGCAGCCCAGGGCCCCAGGGTTACAAGGGGCCCCCAGATCCCGCTAAAAAGTAGGCTATAATTTGAAAAAAAAAAGTTGTCTGTAAAGTCGGTTTACGGACGATATTTTTACGTGACAACGTCATAAGAAGATTCAGCCCAGGGCCCCACAAATTCACGATCCGGCCCTGACAGTCAGTGTGACAGCGAGCCACAGTGACAATGTGACAACGAGCCAGAGTGACAGTGTGACAGCGAGCTACAGTCAGTGTGACAGCGAGCCACAGTGGCAGTGTGACAGTGAACTACTTACCGTTTGACAGTCAGGTAGAACAGTTCTGCGATGGCTCGCACGGAGTAGTCTGGTATGAATGTGTGACGTAGCATGGAGTAGACGTTGATGTTCTGTAGGGAGTGTGACAGCGAGCCACAGTGGAAGTGAGGCGTAGTGACAGTGTGACATCAAGCCACAGTAAGAGTGTGACAGCGAGACGCAGTGACAGTGTGACAACGAGTGAGTGTGACAGTGTGACAGTCAGCCACAGTGTGACATTGAGCCACTCACCGTTTGACAGTCAGGTTGAACAGCTCGGCGATGGCTCGCACGGAGTAGCCCGGTACGAATGTGTGACGTATCATGGACTCGACGTTGATGTTCTGTAGGGAGTATGACAGCGAGCCATAGTGGCAGTGAGCCGCAGTGACAGTGTGACAGCAAATCACAGTGACAGTGTGACATCAAGCCACAGTAAGAGTGTGACAGCGAGCCACAGTGACAGTGTGACCACGAGCCACAGTCAGTGTGACAGCGAGCCATAGTGGCAGTGTGACAGTGAACCACTCACCGTTTGACAGTCAGGTAGAACAGTTCGGCGATGGCTCGCACGGAGTAGTCCGGTACGAATGTGTGACGTAGCATGGCGTCCACGTTGATGTTCTGTAGGGATCCCATGGCTGACGGGCTTGGAGATTCCGCTGCAAGAAAAATATGTTTTATTATACAAGGTGTTAGATAAATGGGTATATGAGCCGACACTAGCCCATGATAACATGGTCATATAAATGGTATGGTGAAGTCAGAAAATTAAAAAGTCGTGTCATGAAAAAGGATGAAAAACGGGTGTTGTTCTCGGGGACCGAGGACCAGTTTTTCTATTTATACTAGGCAGGGTAAAAAACTCCGATACCACGATGCAGGATTGTAGGCGCGGTTGCTGTTGGTGAAGACTACCACTAGTATGTAGTTGCGCGTCGATAAAGCCCGGTCTGTGAGCACGTAGAATTTTGTCCAATGACCCCAAGCTACCCATCCTTATCCCTCGCGCGTAATTATATTGCTGTCGCGACTGTGCGACGCGCGCCCGCAGTGAGTGTGCGAGCGCGACAGCAACATAATTACGCGCGAGCGATAAGGATGGGTAGCTTGGGGTCATTGGACAAAATTCTACGTGCTCACGGACCAGACTACACCTTTATGAAGTCGTCGGTCCACTTAATGGGAGGCTCAGCCCGTGGTCACCGAAATGACGATAAAAACGTTTTTTATACTTACCGACGCCGATGTTCTGGGTCAGCGCTTGTACACCAAAATACGTGAAGGGGCCAGCTTCGAACACGAGGTTTTCGCGGCCTACCGTCACTTCCACCCGCCCTTCCAGTATCAGAACGAAGTAGTCCACCTGGATAAAAAGACAATTATTAGTAAGAAAACCTTGAAAAACAAGCTTTTATAATAGGCCCAAAGACTCGTGGCAGGCGGTGTCATAATAAAAACAGGGTGACGTCACACAGAGGCAGGCATTTCGTTGTTTATAATACGTAACAATTAATAAAATATTGGCGAGTGTGTCTCTATTTTAAAAATTACTTATAGCCGGCCTGCCACGAGTCTTTAGGCCGAGTATAGTCCGTAATGCTTCTACCACAGATCTCTGAAACTAAAATGAGATTTGAAAAGGGGGCGGGGCCAGTATCGCAGCAATATGCCCAAAAACAGAACACATTGCTCGCGACAGCAATGATGACAGCAGCGACGTTATGTGTAAACAGTTTACATCGCTTGCGTAGTACTAAAGATTATTCAAACGTTGAGTACTGATACTGCAGTGAATAATGAAATCAAACTATAAGGATACTTTCAATCGAACGTCACTGCGTATGTAGTGGTGCTGTACGTAAGTTACTTGCAACCTGGTATGCGAACGAATAGTCGCACTCAATGCAATGTGTGCATGTCACACAGTCTTCGCGACGTATTGTTTTTATTTTGATTACTTTGTGTGTGTGAATTTCTAATGCGACACTGGGTTTCGAACTCCACGCATTTTTTAGATCTCTGACTTCTACATTAAGAACTTTGACATTTGATAATGACATTAAGAAATAAACATTTATCGCTATGGACATCACACAAAGACAAAAAAAGGTAATTAAAAAAAAAGACAGGTAACAAATAAATAAAACATAACAATGGAAGAGAAAGTGAACTGAGTAGTGCCACCCTGTGGGACAAACTTGACCTTCATTGGTTGGGTTTTAATGGCGGTCAAGCTGTAGATCCTGGCTACACAGGAGTTGCAGTGGTGGGAACGAGAGGTGGGAATAGTCCCGTAGTGCCACCCTGTCTCAGAGTCGAGCACCGTTTCGTTTACATACGTCAGTGATCGGTACTGTGCCGATGCGATAGGGATACAGAAGCTACTGTGTCGCCATCTAAAGCCCGGTCTGTGAACACGTAGAATTTTGTCCAATGAACCCTAGCTACCCATCCTAATCGCTCGCGCGTAATTATATTGCTGTCGCGACTGTGCGACTGGCGCCCGCAGTGAGTGTGCGAGCGTGTTAGCAACATAATTACGCGCGAGCGACAATGATGGGTAGCTTGGGGTCATTGGACAAAATTCTACGTGCTCACGGACCAGAACAGAGTAAATACAAATGAGTAGGTCATCTTCATAGAAACGCACCGAGTGCGGTACTCATTTGTATTTACTCTGACAAGAAGCTACTGTGTCGCCATCTAGCGCACCACACGCGTAGTTTTTCTTCTTTCTTTATTTTTTTACAATGGGTGAAGAATATGCGCGTTTGTCACTCACTACTCGCTCGTGAATGCCTTGTGGATTAAACATCCCAGGAGAGCACGCCGTGTGTGTTTTGTTTTCGATGCATACTCGCAGATATGAACAGAGGGCTTAGAGTAAGCGCACACCGTTGATTTTTAGTTGGCCGATAGTTGTGCCCGATTTTAATTTGTATGAAGAATCGGCCAAATCGAATCGGCGTAGTGTGCGCACTCCCATACATGCCCATACTGATCAACTGCCCGACTAAACTGTCGGCCGACGAAAAATCAACGGTGTGCGCCTACTCTTAGTGTGAGTTTACATCAAACGTACATTGAGCGCGTAGAAAAATGACATTAAATGTATGAATGATTGTACAGCGCTCCTAGCGGACACTTTCAAGAACTTATTTACAATACAACCGGACACTCATATATTTTTTTAACGCGCTCAATAGTGAGGACATTTGATGTAAACTCACACTCATCCCACTGGTATTACGAAGCCGTGAACTATTGTAACTATAGGTCTAGCGTTTAACTGAGTCAGTGCCTGAGGTATGGGAGCGGCACGGGAGGGGTGACATTGACATATTATGACGTGACTGAGCATACAAATCTGCAAGGCTCGGAACCGGTTTGAAAAATACCGTTATTATTGTTCTTTAACGGTTTTTGCATTAGTTTTGAAAACGTTAATCATTTCGTTCTTTAACCGAAAAAAATAGTTAAATATGCGGGCCGGCGTCTTGTTTAAAACGGTTAATTGTGGTAAAGAACGAAAACGTAACCCAAAACTTGGTTTTGAAAAATAACGTTATGAATACAGGTTTCGAGGAACGAAAACGAAATTATTTCGTTATCATATACTTAGGGCTATAACGGTTTGAAAAATTAACCGGTATCCGAGCCTTGCAAATCTGAAAGAAATCAGAATCGCTGACGTGCCGCTCCTATAACTCGGGCGCTGACGCAGTTGTGCACTAGACCTGTAGCTAAGACTCACCGGTTTCCCCTGCTGGAAGACGTAAGTGCTCGGATCCTTCTTGAGAATACGCGCGCGAACGTCACTCACTACTCGCTCATGAATCCCTTCTGGATTAAACCCGCCGTCGGGTACGCCGAAAGTCCGGTCGCCGAGCAGATTGAATTTCGTACAATGACCCCAAGCTACCCTGCGGCCGCTCGTCGCACAGTGAGTGTGCGAGCGCGACACACGAGCGAGAAGGATGGGTAGCTTGGGATCATTGTACGAAATTCTATCTGCTCGGCGACCGGATTTTACTCGGGGAGATGAACAGGCCTGTTCTGACTCCTGATATAGAAGAGAACTCACCGGTTTCCCCTGCTGGAAGACGTAAGTGCTGGGATCTTTCTTGGTCTTGCCCTTCAGCTTGATGTGGTGAATCACATCCTGCTTCAGGAGACGGCGGAGGACCGTCTCTGATACCGTGTCTGGACGGAAGGCGTCCACGCCTGACGGGATAAACGTAATGTGTATTTGACTCTATACTCTGATTTTTAATTCGACGGAATTTTGACATTTCAGAAGTGTTGCCAACATTGAAACATTCCTACTAAGAATGGAGAGCATTTTCGCAAATTAAAAAATAATCCTTTCTTGAATTTAAGGTTGCAATTGAAAAACTAAGACTTTAAAATGTACTGATCATTTCTAGATGGTTATTTGAGTTTTTATTAACACATTTTTGAAGTGAAAAAAAAATTAGGGACATTATTTTTCTATTACTGGACTCCCTGGCCAATAATCCATAGGTTACAAAACTTTTTTATGAAAATCCTTTTGTTAATTAAATCTTCGCTTCATAAAATAGCCAATCTAACAAGATGCCAATTTTATAATCCAAGTTGATTATGATGACGATAATGACGATTGATGATCAATACATATTTTCGTTTATGATAATATGTTGTTTTACTGTGTTAAAAACACGTTTTTTTCTATTTAATCTCTAAAATGTACATAATAATTAGTGTACATTGAATTCACAAAACAAACAATAGTTCATTCTTGTAAGGCACTTGATGAAATTTCATTTCATATTATTTATTAGGAATTCAAAGTAAAAAAGACTTATTACATCTGAATTGTCAAAAAATTACAGCTGTCAGAATTCCGCCGAATTAAAAATCGGACTTTAGTCAATGAGTACTACCATTTTAGCTCTCACCAGTTGGCACCACTGTAATGGTGAAGACAGTGGCGCCACTACAGAGTGGGGTCATTTCAATCGCCAGTGGTTCCAACTGTTAAGTATAAAAACCATAGCCCTCATTTATATCCCCCGAGCTGTCAAAACGCAACTCTCACATTCATTATTATGTAATAAATGCTATTTCTATAACTTGAAAAAATAGTTTGTCTCATGTGATATGCAACTTTGAATTGAATAGTTTAGTTTAGAACTGGATAGTGATGGTTTTTAATTTAGTTTATCAACGTTGCACTGTCAAGTCAGATTTTTTAGTATCTGAGACTAGAAGAAGAAAAAGAAAAATAAAAAAAGAAATAGAACAAGAAAAAGAAAACGAAAAGACAAAAGAAAAGAAAAAAAAAAGCAGATAAAGAATAAAAAGAAAATAATAAATAAACCACTCACTAGTGCTCAAAAACTGGAAGGTGGCAAGGGTGAGTTGCGGCGATATGTGTATGCGTTGGTTCTCGTGGCGTTCCGCGAACGCAGTGAAGTCTTGCAGTTTGTTCTGCGGGCGGTTGCGGCGGCGCTTGGTGCGGTTGTCCACTGTTGGGAAGAATAGTCATTAAAATTAGACATAGCCCGACGGATTAGGAAGCTGCAAGCGTAGTGTAAGTTTAAGGGCTGATTTTTCAATCGTCAGATAACTTTTAACTGAAGAATAAGTTTGGCACATTGACAGTTTCAGTATGGGAAATATGTCAAAATGACAAGGTTATTCTTCAGATTAAAGATATCTGAGGATTGAAAAATCAGCCCTAAGTCAAACGCATTCGATGTTTACTGAGTAAAAAGTGACATTAAGAGTAGGCGCAGACCATTGATTTTTTATCGGCCGATAGTTTAGTCGGATTGGGCTCTCAGTGCGCACACTGATTCAACTAAACAGTTGAATCGGGCGTGGGTGCGCAGACCGCCGGTTTGAAATCGGGCCGATTGTCTTCATTCGATAGAGAGCTGTTGAAGAGAGCAGTCGCGTGGAATGTTTCCTAGAAATATTATTATTTCTGTATACTTTACTAACACTTGCCCACGGCTTCGCCTGCATGAAATTCAGTTGAATCAGTGTGTGCACTGAGAGCCCAACCCGACTAAATTATCGGCCGACGAAAAATCAACGGTGTGCGCCTACTCTAAATGTATGACAGATTGTACAGCGCCACTAGTGTAAACTTTAAAGAACTAAAATCTATACTAATAATGTGAATGCGAAAGTAACTTTGTATGTCTATCTTGCTTTCACGCCTAAACCACTAAACCAATTTTGATAAAATTTAGCATAGAGATAGTTTGTAATAAATAAAAGTGCTACAAAGGGAGGAAATCATGTATCATCCATCAATCATCACTCATTAGTTGTAAGCTCTTCTGTAAGGCCCAGTTTGACCAGTTTCAAACTGGTCGCGTCATGTGTGGTCTCTCAACGGACGTTATGACAGAAACTTAGATGCAACTCAAAAGTAACTAGAAGTTGCAGTTTCGTTGCAGTTGCGTTTCACCGTGTGTTCTGGGCATTTTGAAAATAAATAAATGAATACTTACAAAACACATCAGTCTCATCAACGATTTCGGCTTGAATCATTTCCTCAATGACGTCCTCCAAAGTCACCAGCCCGATTGTCTCGTAGAACGGGTCGCCTTCGCCCTCGTTGTTGATGCGGTGGACGAACGCCATGTGGCCTTTGTGGCCTGTGGACAGATAAATCAAATGGTTTATTTATGCAAGTTGGTTCCCAAAGAGCACTTTTATACGTCCCACCCAACCCTACCACTGCTTTGGGACAGTAATATGAGCCAGTGCTAAGAAGCGCCGCGTGTCTAAGGTGTCCCCGAGTGTCTAATAATAATAATAATAATAAAATTGTTTATTTTATCAGACACTCATTATAGTATATTAAAATTTTTTTTTTTTTTTTTTTTGGAAGATAACAATTGTTGTTCTGAGTGTGCGATCTGGAGCCTAAACTAGGGTCACCCTGTATTTCAGGCCTCCAGGTCCCCCACCCGCACATCTAAGGGTCTCTAATAGAGATGAGACGTATTTACTAGAACAGATCCACACACTAGGTATTTTAAAGTACTAAGTGGCACCTATTCCAATTTTTAAAATACTTGATCCACCTAGTATTTTTTAAATTACACGATTTCCGACCCTACCATCAAAGTAATAGAGGTTATTATTGCATAGTCCGTAGGCGTGTATTACGCGCACCGCGTATTTCTCGCAAAGTATTTTTTAAATTACACGATTTCCGACCCTACCATCAAAGTAATAGAGGTTATTATTGCATAATCCGTAGGCGTGTATTACGCGCACCGCGTATTTCTCGCTAAGCTTATGTGCGAACGTAGAGATTCACTCCGTCTCTGTCTGACAAACAAATTTGAGCGCAGGCAGGTGTGAGATAGGAATAGGTGTTTGATGTATTACGTAATTTAAACTCTATTTGTACACAGGTAAGGTTTTGAATATTTTAATTTTTGTTCTCTCTCATCCAGCTCACTCCTTGTTGACTAGCCGGTAAAAAACCAGTTTTTATTCTTCCGACAGGTTTGTTTTGGTTTGTTGTCACGCGTCCGTGATAATTGCATAATTTGTATTGAAATAGTAATTTGATAATTAGATTAAATTGGAATAGTTTTCGAGTGTTGATTAGATAGAATTTAACTCCTGTTTCTGAGAAGTTACCCGCTAAAATACCGGTGGTGACAAAAGTTCCCAGAAATTTTTGGTAGTAGATGACCCATGGGGAGTTTTGTCACCAAGATTTTTTGTCTGTGTTTCTTTGTCAATTTGGGCGTGTTCCTTTACATGTATGGAGATTTGCTATTTTTGACATCAACGTTGATAAATTTAGCGATATCTGTGATATTTCTTTAATCTGTAAGCGTTTTGTGAGCGATGTGAAAAAATGTTGAAATGGAACACTCTCAGTTTGACATGAGCCGTCACACGTCCGATTTTTGAAGTGTTTATTTTTTATAGAAGAAACATTCTATTCTACAAGTTATTCAATTTCAAATTGCATTATTAATACTACGAGTGGATCTTTTCAAAGAAAATTGTATTTTAAAGTCATAATACGTGGATTAGTCCGCACTAGTCGCGTCAAGTATGGTAAATTACTACGTACTAAGTGGAACAGGTATTTGGATCACGTATTAATAAATACTTGGAATAGGTGCACCTAGTATCAAATTTACCTAGTATAACCCATCTCTAGTCTCTAATGTGACCTAACCTCGCGTCTAAAGTGACCCGTCTCGCGTCTAAAGTGACCCCAAGTGTTTAATAGGTCCACGCCTCGCGTAAGTAGTGACCAAAGTGTTTAAAGTGATCCTAAGTGTCTGATGTGACCCTGCCTAGCGTCTAAAGTGACCCCAAGTGTCTAATGTGACCCCGACTTGCGTCTAAATTGACCCCGTCTCGAATCTAAAGTGACCCCAAGTGTTTAATAGGACCATGCCTCGCGTAAGAAGTGACCAAAGTGTCTAATTTAACCCTGCCTAGCGACTAAAGTGACCCCAAGTGTCTAATGTGACCCCATCTCGCGTCTTTAGTGACCCCGTCTCGAGCCTTTAGTGACCCCGTCTCGTGTCTTTAGTGACCACAAGTGTCTAATGTGACCCCGCCTCGCGTCTTTAGTGACACTAAGTGTCTAATGTGACCCCGTCTCGCGTCTTTAGTGACCCCAAGTATCTAATGTGACCCCGCCTCGAGTCTTTAGTAACACTAAGTGTATAACGTAACCCCATCTCGCGTCTTTAGTGACCCCAAGTGACTAATGTGACCCCGCCTCGCGTCTTTAGTGACACTAAGTGTCTAATGTGACCCCGTCTCGCGTCTTTAGTGACCCCAAGAGTCTAATGTGACACCGCCTCGCGTCTTTAGTGACCCCAAATGTCTAATGTAACCCTGCCTAGCGTCTAACGTGACCCCAAGTGTCTAATGTGACCCCGCCTAGCGTTTAAAGTGACCCAAAGAGTTGGAAGTAATCCAGCAGCGTGACCTACCGTCCTTGAACTGGCGGAACATGACATCCAGCGTGACATCCTCGAAGACGAAGTTGCAGGGGTTCTGGTAGTACTGGCAGAGCGTCCGCAGCGGCGTGTTGTCGTCGGGGTCCACGAACGCTAAGTCCTTGATGAAGAGCACTGTGTGTCTAAGGCGATCCCGAGTGTCTACAGTGACCCCGAGTGTCTACAGTGACCCCGCGTGTCTACAGTGACCCCGAGTGTCTACAGTGACCCCGAGTGTCTACAGTGACCCCGAGTGTCTACAGTGACCCCGAGTGTCTACAGTGACCTCGAGTGTCTACAGTGACCCCGAGTGTCTACAGTGACCCCGAGTGTCTACAGTGACCCGAGTGTCTACAGTGACCCCGAGTGTCTACAGTGACCCCGAGTGTCTACAGTGACACCGAGTGTCTACAGTGACACCGAGTGTCTACAGTGACCCCGAGTGTCTACAGTGACCCCGAGTGTCTACAGTGACCCCGCGTGTCTAAGGTGTCTTGCGCGTGTTTATTTTGATCACCTACCGTCCTTGAACTGGCGGAACATGACATCCAGCGTGACATCCTCGAAGACGAAGTTGCACGGGTTCTGGTAGTACTGGCAGAGCGTGCGCAGCGGCGTGTTGTCGTCAGGGTCCACGAATGCTAAGTCCTTGATGAAGAGAACCGTCACGATGTTGCCGCGGCTCCCTTCGTATACTGGGATGCGGGAGTAGCCTGGGGACAAAGTTGATAGAATAGAATAGACGAACGTTTTGATGTCATGTGAAAATAGATGGAAAAACAAACATTAAGGAATCTCTTTTTTGTTCTATAAGTAGGACTTTGAATCAGGGATGTTATGGATATCCGCACGTAAGGGGGCGTCCATAAATTACGTGAGACTTTTAGGGGGCCTCCCCCCCCGACCGGGTCAACGAAAACCTCACTAAATCTCACGTAGGGGAGAGGGGGGGTCTCGGAAAATATCACGTAATTTTACCTACAAGAAATAGAGTAAAATTGTCAGAAAACTGGGTTATTGAAGTAAAAAAAATTTTTTTTTATGATGATAATGACAATTTATTCTAAACCGTCTAATCAAATTAAACTAAAAATGCCTCCATCAGCATTTGTGAACACTAAAGATGCAGAATAAATGTCGAAATTAAGAAATTAAAAAAATACGTCATCGGCATCGCTATTGCGTGAAAAATTGGCCAAGTGCGTGTCGTGCCACGCGCAGTGTAGGGTTCCGTAAGCAATTGCTTGTCTTACTAAACGACTGGAAGCTACGGAACCCTGCACTGTGCGTGGCACGACACTGGGTTACTGATTTTTTCATATAAATCTAATAGACTCGAAGCATAGACATGGCAAAATAGGCATTTTATTAAATATCACGTGAGATTAGGGGGGTGGGGGAGGGGGTCAGGCAAAATCTCACCAAATCTCACCAAGGGGGGCGGGGGGGTTGAAAAATGGCCAAAATTGTCTCACGTAATTTATGGACGCCCCCTAACCGTAACTATCGGANCTGCACTGTGCGTGGCACGACACTGGGTTACTGATTTTTTCATATAAATCTAATAGACTCGAAGCATAGACATGGCAAAATAGGCATTTTATTAAATATCACGTGAGATTAGGGGGGTGGGGGAGGGGGTCAGGCAAAATCTCACCAAATCTCACCAAGGGGGGCGGGGGGGTTGAAAAATGGCCAAAATTGTCTCACGTAATTTATGGACGCCCCCTAACCGTAACTATCGGATATCCGAAATAAAAAAATATCCGTAATCGTAACCGAAACCGATTCAAAAGTTTCGGATAAAGGCGGAGTCTAAATCTTAAAACTTAAATATTTGTTACTTGTCTGACATTCCCTGGCACCAATAATATCCCCGCCTGTTTTACCTTTATCATAAGTGTCGTCATAGTACATAAAGTGGCTATATGGGTCGCGCAGAATCTTGCTATTTGAATTTTACATTTTTAAAATTCTAATATCCGTAACCGAAATTATCCGAAACTTTCGGATAATCCGAAATGATTTCATATCCGTAACCGTAACCGAAACCGGTATAATATCATTCTAATATCCGTAACCGTAACCATAACTGAAACTTCATATCCTAAACATCCCTGCTTCAGATTTGAAAATTTATGAAAATGACCCATTTTTTGAGTCGATCGATATTTTTTAGATACAGTGTTTACGTTGATGTACAATCTAACGTGTTTTATTTTTAGGTACTAGGTATATCCTGTGACTTAATAGCGATGTCATAAAGTAATACATTAAGTGGGCCAGTCAATTTGCAGCGTTGTTCCCATTACGCTGATACCAAAATATAACGATAACCTGAAGGGTGTTGTATTAAGTGTAGTTGTTGAGCCAAGTTCTCCATGTTTTTTTTATAATCAGAATCGTTCGCTTTATGCTCCTGACTTTAGCAATACGCAAGGAGTCCAATGTCGAAAAATTTTGTCAAGTCTTGTTCATTTCTGTAGCAGAAAAGTACCAATAAAATTACTATGTTAAAAATGCCGATCGTGTCGTTTGTAAATATCGGCTCTTATTTTTTTTTTTGTTATAATAATATGGATCCACTAACTATAACTTTGATCTTCTGATTAATTTCGTAGCGGGTCCAATGACAGTTTACCTTTCCCCCGGGACAAACTTGACCTTCACTGGTTGGGTTTTTGATAGATCTGTGTGATATTGTGTTATTTGCTGATGACACTGTTAACAACTTATTGTTAAATGCAAACAAAACTAAGTGCATTAAAGGATGATGGGCATATTGGGCGTTAAACCAACAGAGACAAAAAGTATACTAAATTAAAGCTTAATACTAGTACTTCATTTCATAGTATGACAACAATCCTGAAATACGCGGGGATACGGAGATAGAGGTCGTTGAATATGCAAAGTTTCCATAGTATTTCACATCACATTAGGGTTATAAAAATAGTATTTGGTCAATTATATTGCTTTTATTGATCATATTGAGAGTATTGTATAATATCTTACTATCGATTTAGTAAGTATGTATACCGAATAAATCATAATCGATTATTCGATTGCAATAATCGATTATATTGCTGAAAATAAGGAATTGAATTCACAATCAAATGACAGTGATGATGGTAATCAAATCGATTAATCGAATTGTTAATCGATAAATCGTTATTTGGCAATATCGATTAATAATTATCGATCCGTGATCGATTATGCGACAACACTACAACTTAACTGGTAGAAATCCCATTGAAACATGACTGTGATCATGTTATTTCTCTAAATGGTACCTAGGTATGGTCCTACGCTTATAATGTAGAACATGGTTTAAATATACCATTTGTTGGCCCCACTCCTGAACTGTTGGACATAATAATGGATAAATAACTTAATGTAGTAGTAGTAAGTAGATAAGTATATTAATTAATAATATTTTTTGTTTGCGCAATAAAGCACCTATTACTATTACACATTATGTCAATTTCCAAGCAAACCCGGGAGTTTTTGGTAGTTATTTATATGAAAATATATTTCTGATATTAAGTCCTAACAAATAATAGTAGTTACATTTCTGTTGGTTTTACGCCCAGATTCCATAGAAAAGTGCCCATCATCCTTTACCTTACCTAATGTGAGGCAGGTTTCCACGCAATTAATGGTGAAGAATGAACCATTAAATAGCATAAATTCCACACCATTCCTGGGAATCACTTTAGATGCTAAACTTCAATGGGGTCCTCATTTTGAAACTTTGTCAAAAAGGCTCAGTACGGCTGCTTTTGCAGTGAGAAAGATAAGGCAATTAACTGACATTGAAACGGCAAGGCTAGTATATTTTAGCTATTTTCATAGTATAATGTCATACGGCATATTGTTGTGGGGCTCAGCCGCGGACATTGAAACTGTGTTTGTTCTGCAGAAGAGAGCAGTGCGGGCCATTTATAACCTTGGACCCCGATTTTCCTTGAAAGATTTTTTTAAGGAAATAAACATACTGACAGTAGCTTCACAGTTCATTTATGAAAACCTTTTATATGTCCGCAAAAATATAGAGCAATTCACGAAAAAGAGCGATTTGCATAACTTTAATACAAGAAACAAAAATAAACTTGCCGTTCCAAATTTCAGATTGCATAAGATTGGTAATTCATTTATGGGAAAATGTATTAAATTCTTTAATAAATTACCACAAACTGTTGTAGAACTACCCATTCATAAATTCAAAGCACATATTAAAAGTACCTTAATGAAAAAGGGCTACTATAAAGTCGATGATTATTTAAAAGATAAAAATGTTTGGGATACGTTACTGCCTAGCTCGCATAAATATTTATAACTTTGTACATTTTAAAGCATGTAAACCTTTGAAAAAGAGGCTGACAATAGTGACTGAGTTTCTTGCGCTGCTTCTTCTCAGCACTGGCCCATTTATTGTCCTGAAGCAGTGGTAGGGTTAATACTGGGACGTGTAAAAGTGCTTTTTTTAAGCCTATTTACAGAAATAAATGAGTTTTAATGAGAGTTTTAATGAGTTTTTAGAGTTTTAATGGCGGTCAAGCTGTAGATCCTGGATCAATAGGAGTTGTAGCGACGGGAACGATGAGAATAGTCCAGTAACGAACTTAATATTGCATCAAGTAACCCAAGCATCACCGTTGCCCAAACACGACTACCAAATCCGAAATTGACACCATTTTATACACAACTTGGCTCATTTCTTACAGTGACACCATGACAAACATATAGCTCGCACACCGGAGGGTGGGCCCTCCGCGAAAGGTCGAATCGGAGGGTGACCTTCGAACTGAATACATAAACTTTTGTTGCAAACATTTTTGTAACCTTTCGTATAATGCGAACAGCTAGGGATTGGAATTAGCTGCCTGCTGATGTCAAAACTCAAAAAACTCATTTTATTTTTGCAAGTAGGGTTTTTTTAGTTTACAATTACATGTTACAGAAGGATCTACAATCGGCGAACTTCGTACCGCCTATGTTGCGTCTACCCGTGTGCTTTAATTTATCAGAAAATTAAATAAAGTAGGATTCTAATGATGAAATATTTTTTCTAATTAGTCCAGTAGTTCCGGAGCTTATTCAATACAAACAACCAATCTAATCTTTCCTCTTTATAATATTAGTGCAGATCAGTGTCCAAGTAGCTCAGATAGCGATGCCCAGCAAGCGAAAGGTCGTGGGTTCGAATACCACATTGGTCAATTCGATATTTTAAGTTATTTAAAATTTTAGCTAAACAAAAAAGTCTGTCTGCGATCGTATTAGTATATTTCCACCATGAATGTCTCCAGCGACGACGTAATATCTGGAGGGTGTCCAAAAGGCGCGGCTTTAAATAAACGACGCCATGTTTAGAATACGATGCTATAACGGTTATGAAACTCGGGAGTTCAGTATTGGTAGTCGCGAGCGTAAGTCTAGCGCTTAACTGAGTCATTGCTTGAGGTATGACATTGAGATATTATTATTTTTTTTTTAAATCTTTGGACACTTTTTCACACAGCGCTAGCTAGCGTAGCTATTATGACGTGATAGAGCATATAAATTTCTTCGTCTTCAAGACTTCAAGTCTCGCTGACGTTTGACCTCACGTGCACGGTCCCATAGGGAAAAATCTGTTGAACTACCGGACTCATGTTGAATGAAACCAGAGTAAATACAAATGAGTAGGTCATCTTCATAGAAATGCCCGAGCGCGGTGTGTATGTGAGCGCGTTAATACGTATGCGGCGCGCACGCACACACTGACAAAATTTAACGAGGATTAGCGGAGCGCCGAATTTTGTCCGTGTGTGCGTGCGCGCCGCATGCGTATTGGCGCGCGCTCACATACAATCCGCGCTCGGTGCGTTTCTATGAAGATGACCTACTCATTTGTATTTACTCTGATGAAACTCTTGTCTTTCACCACTAGAACTAGAAAGCTACATTATTTCTGAGTGACATAGGCTATTAACTTTTTGTGACAAACCAAAGCTGGTTAGAAATAATAGCTATTTCCTGCGGCATCACAGTATCTAGTAATTTTTCTCCCTACGAGCTTTGGACTCCCGTTTCATTCCTTTTTAGGGGGGTAAATTTTGGAAATATTTACTACATTCATCCCATCATAAGGGAATAAAAATCTCGTAAAGCTTGCCCTGGGATTTTTTTTGGTATTTTCATTCCCTAAGGGGTTGAAAATTTGACCCTCTAAGGGGATGAAAATCCCGTAAAGCTTGCATAAGACTCACCAGACTTAACAATCTCTGACATCGTCTCAAAATCGAGCACAGAGCTTATGGGCAGCATGAACACGTCTTCCAACTTCGTCATGACGTCAGCAAACGGACTTCTTGCGGAGCTCCAGGGCTCCGAAGATGATATTAACATCGGGAAATTCGGGAATATGTAATATGTTTTCTCCCTACAAACTTTGGACTCCAGTTTCGTCCCTTTTAGGGGGGTAAATTTTGGAAATGTTTACTACATTCATCCCCTAAGGGGATGAAAATCCCATCCGCTAGGGGGATGAAAATCCCGTAAAGCTTGCTTTGCAATAACAAAAGACTCACCAGACTTAACAATCTCAGACATTGTCTCAAAATCGAGCACAGAGCTTATGGTCAGCAACGGATTTCTTGCGGAGCTCCAGGGCTCCGGAGATGATGTTTTCTTAGGGAGTATTCGGGAAATACGAGAGTATCTAATGTTTTCTCCCTACAAACTTTGGACTCCAGTTTCGTCCCTTTTAGGGGGGTAAATTTTGGAAATGTTTACTACATTCATCCCCTAAGGGGATGAATGTAGTAAATCCCCATCCCCTAAGGGGATGAAAATCTCATCCTTCAAGGGGATAAAAATCCCGTAAAGCTTGCATAAGACTAATAAAAGACTCACCAATAAAATAACAATCTCTGACATCGTCTCAAAATCAAGCACAGAGCTTATGGGCAGCATGAAGACGTCTTCCAGCTTCGTCATGACGTCAGCAACGGACTTCTTGCGTAGCTCTAGGGCTCCGCATATAAAAAAAAACTAGCTATTCAATGCGGTTTTACTCGCCTTAAATTCGGGAATATCCTTGTATCTCCATAAAAACACTGCGCTCCCGTTTCATCCCTTTTAGGGGGGTGTTTCGGAAATGTTTATTACATTCATCCCCTAAGGGGATGAAAATCTCATCCTTTAAGGGGATAAAAATCCCGTAAAGCTTGCATAAGACTAATAGAAGACTCACCAGACTTAACAATCTCTGACATCGTCTCAAAATCGAGCACAGAGCTTATGGGCAGCATGAAGACGTCCTCCAACTTCGTCATGACGTCAGCAACGGACTTCTTGCGGAACTCTAGGGCTCCGCATATTAAAATACTAGATATTGCCAGCGGTATTACTCGCCTTAAATTCGGGTATATCTTCGTTTCTCAAAACAAACACTGGGCTTCTGTTTCATCTCTTTTAGGGGGGTGAATTTTGAAAAATGTTTATTACCCCATGAAAATCCCACCCCCTAAGGGGATGAAAATCTCATCCTTTAAGGGGATAAAAATCCCGTAAAGCTTGCATAAGACTAATAGAAGACTCACCAGACTTAACAATCTCTGACATCGTCTCAAAATCGAGTACAGAGCTTATGGGCAGCATGAAGACGTCCTCCAACTTCGTCATGACGTCAGCAACGGACTTCTTGCGGAGCTCCAGGGCTCCGGAAATGATGTTGACTTCATCTTTGTCCAGATCGTTGACGTCGGTGGTGACCTGCGAACCGATGAACTGGAGGATTAATTAAATACCTGTGTCTTCTCGGGTACTTTGCATAGATTAGGACAGCGGTTCCCGAAAGGTGGTCCGCGGAACCCTGGGGTTCCGTGAAAAGGCCGCAAGGGTTCCGTAAAAAATATTATCCCACGTTTCGTGACCGACGTTCGCGCTCACCGACTTGTTTACGCACAAGGGAGGGGCAGGGCGTGCGGGCGGAGTAGTACGGGGGTTACGCTAGGAAAAGTATAATCAATTAGGGTTCCTTGGCAAAAAAAATTTGGAAACCCTGGATTAGGAGTCCACACGGACCGCAGGATTTTCTTATAAATAAGTTACAAATAAAATAAGTGTGTATGATTCCTAGCAAGCGCCTCCGTGCGGCACCTGAGTTAACGTTGTGGCTAGGGCACCCCTATGACGGGAAGTACAAGCAGAGTAAATACAAATGAGTAGGTCATCTTCATAGAAACGCACGGGCGCGGTTTGTATAAGACACGCACACACTGACAAAATTTAGCGGGGATTAGCGGTGTAAGACACGCACACACTGACAAAATTTAACGGGGATTAGCGGTGTAAGACACGCACTCACTGTCAAAATTTAGCGGGGATTAGCGGTGTAAGACACGCACACACTGACAAAATTTAGCGGGGATTAGCGGGGAGCCAGTCGTGGTTGCGCCGAATTTTGTCAGTGTATATTGGCGCGCTCACATACAAACCGCGCTCGGTGCGTTTCTATGAAGATGACCTACTCATTTGTATTTACTCTGGTACAAGTGAGCTAGGAACCTACTATAGTCCGGTCCGTGAGCACGTAGAATTTTGTCCAAAGGGTCATTGGACAAAATTCTACGTGCTCACGGACCGGGCTTTAGAACGCACAGTCGCGTAAGTGTAATGTTTCCCTAAATATGGAACAAACTTGCTTAGAGTCTAATGGACTCCACGCTACTAACCTTTCAACTAGCCGGCTCAAGGACAATATGCGAAAAATCGTTTTAAAGAAAAAAATTACACAGTTGATAGGCTTGTTTAAAAATATACCGCATCTAGTGGGGTTGCCAGGTGTCCGGCTTTAGCCGGACATGTTTGACTTTATAGAGACTTGTCCGGCTTATGTTAGGCTTTTAATGTGGCCACGCCAGTCGAAAGTCGAGCCACAGAATAATATTCATTGGAAGATGAAAATACTCATTCATGAGCTGTGACGTTAATTGCACCCCCTCCCCCTGTGACATTTAGCTATTAAAAAGATATGTCCGGCTTTTAGGGTAAAAGCCTTTTCAGTGTCATTGTAATTACCTTCTCATTAAAAAATAATAAGTATTGTAAGTGTTTTGTCGATGATACTGAATAAACATTTTTTCTTTCTTTCTTTCTTTCTTAAAATGTCCGGCATTATGAAGCACAGAGTCAGGCTTTTGTGTTTTTGAACCTGGCAACCCTAAACCCACTACCACTATACAGTCTATTTTCCTCTCCACTACACCATCACAGCAAAAACCAAATGTATTATATTTTCTTGAATAATACAGATATTTATTACATATATTTACAGCAGTAAGGTTTAGCACTAACCTTCACAAGTTCCTTCAGCCGCTCCCTGTTGTACACGCTGCCTATCTCCTCGCCTAGGAAGTAGTCCAGGAGCTTGCTCACCGGGAACGCGAGTGGTGCTGTGAGCGCCATCACTGCCTGTTAATTAATTTATTTATTAATAAGGCATGATGACAAATATGTATTTGTTTTGGTATTTTATAAATTGACCTAAGATGATTATGGTCAACAAAGAATTACTTCTGTATAGATCGGTTCATCCACAAAGACGCGCCCCACCATTCTTCCGCTAATGTTTGAGTGTTATCGGTACACGCTAAATCATCCATGAGTGCACACGCACACTACAATAATCTGACCTCGGATCAAACTCCCCGCACTCCGCGCTTCCCCCGACCAAAAATTGGTGGGGCGAGTCTTCGTGGATGAAACTATCTATATCATCTATAGTATAAAAACTGACGGAGTACATAATTTCACTTTGACATGTACATCGCTCATGGAATTTGTTCGGTAGCTATATGTAGTGTGTACTAAAAATACTTAGTTTTTCTTTGCAGTTCTCACCTTAGTAATCATGATGCTCTTAGCGCCCACCATCAAACCATGTCTTGAGCATATCGCCTGGGGCGTAATCTCGCCCAACAAAACGATTGCCAGCGTCGAAAAAATCACAGCGAACAGACCAGACGTGAGCTCATCCAGCAAAATGGTAAACGTGGAATTCACAGCGACATTCCCCAGTAAAATGCTGCAGAGCAAGTAGTTTCCGTGGTCCCTCACTGGCATGATCGCTCTGGCGTATTTTCTTTCTTGTTCTGTGCCAGTATTTGATATGATCTTCAACTCTGTTCTATCCAAAGACATGAGCCCTAGATTCAGGCCAGAGAACAAAGCCGAAAACATCAGGCAGACCAGGATTAAAGTAAGAGAAACCCATAAGGGTAGCAAAGTTTTGTGGGTGGCCAGAATCTTCCAGTTTTCCGAACCCATGTGGATGTATTTCGCGTCGTCTTTGGATATGTCAGTCACTCCTGAGTCGAGGTTCTTGATGCAGAGGTATAAGCGGGAACCAGTGACGGGAGATGGCGCTGTGATCTCGAAGAGTGCGGACTTCTTCGTGACGGAGTCTTCTTTGGCCTGAAAAAAAAAGGTGTTAAGTGGGAAGAAATGAAATGACTGTTGAAAGTGGGAATTTTCTTGTATTTATGTGATGTAGGAATGGGAAACCATTTACAAAATACATCTCGGCCATACTCTCCGAAGGGATCCCGATCACATCCCCAAGCAGGCTCTGGATTGGAACCCCCAAGGAAAACGCAAACGTGGTCGCACTGTAGCAGACGAGGCGAAGAAAATCGGCAAGACTTGGAGCGAGATCAAACGCGAAGCTCAAGACCGAACAAGATGGAGGACTGTTCTAGGGGACATAGGACCTTAAGCCAAGAAGTCAAAATGCGGTATGGGAATGAGAAACCATTTATAAAATACATCTAAATCGATTTATTAGTTTAAACGTGAAAAGATGACACACAAACAAGACAGATTTACTTTCACATATATGTATATGAATAACACGGGTTTTGATTGACAATATCATAAACTGTGAAACATCTGGATGGCAAAGAAAGAGGGTTGGTTAAAAAATCTTCAATATTATCTTGAAAAGTACTTGATTTGTTTTTATGGAAAAAAGAAAGATGCAAGCATGTATGCATGCTATGGAGAGGGCTATGCTCGGTGTTTCTTTACGAGATCGAATCAGAAATGAGGAAATCCGTAAATGAACTAAAGTCGCTGACATAGCCCGACGGATTAGCAAGCTGAAGTGGCAATGGGCAGGGCACATAGTACGCAGAACTGACGGCCTTTGGGGCAGCAAGGTTCTGGAATGGAGGCCGCGTACCGAAAAACGCAGCGTGGGACGTCCACCCACAAGGTGGACCGACGACATCATAAAGGTAGCAGGAAAGCGCGGACGTCCTATGGCTGATATGATGATGATGATATCTACTTAATATTACAAATACGAAAATAACTCTGTCTGTCACGCAGTCACTGAAGCGATGTTATTTGGCATAGAAATAGTTTGAGTCGGGAAAGGACATAGCATAGTTTTTATCCCGGTTTTTTTAACAGAGACGCGCGCGATAAAGTTTTTCTGTGACAGACAAAATTTCACGCAGGCGATGTCGCGGGCAAACTACATTTTAATAAATGAAAAATTATTAAAATTGCGTAGTTTTTCCACTATGTTTTGTGTCATAAAGCTAAATTAACTTCAGGATACATAAATTAAACTAAAATACTGATAAAATAGGGTCCAGTAGGTCATGCTTTAGATACGGAACCCTACAAACCAATCGGTTAGAGTTCTGTAAGCATGTACCACTTGATTGGAACATCCGCGCGCTCTAATTTCATGGCATTGGGCTAATGAGTGCGAATTGCGTGGTGAAGGTGTTGTGCGCCTATAGAGTTCGGCAATTTTGATGGAAAAGTTGACTACAGGTATAGCGCTTAAGAAATAAAGAGCTCTAATTTGATTGCATTGGGCTAATGAGTGCGAATTGCGTGGTGAAGGTGTAGTGGCGCCTATAGAGTTCGGCAATTTTGATTCGATACACTGAAGCGGTGCGGTGTGACATGTAACGTAACATAGCAGTCACTCATAGAGACTGCACACATTATCGGGACACGGTACGATAAAGTATTTTAGGTGGCGAATAATAATGTACCTTTTAGTTTTAACGCTAGGCTGCTGCTTTGGTCGGACCACGTGTCCAGAGGGGGTATTCCTAAGCATGGCATGGCTTGCCAAAACATTAAAATTGCAATTTCAACCGTATTGTTAATCTTTTATAGCATCTTACTTACGTTAATGTATTTTGCTTTAGGTGGCGAATAATAATGTACCTTTTAGTTTTAACGCTAGGCTGCTGCTTTGGTATTCCTAAGCATGGCATGGCTTGCCAAAACATTAAAATTGCAATTTCAACCGTATTGTTAATCTTTTATAGCATCTTACTTACGTTAATGTATTTTGCAAAAACATTTTATCATATCATCATCATAAACATCTATCTAGTAATTATTACAACATAAATTACGATTGAACTTTAAAATATGCCATAGTCCATTGGCGCAGACCACACCAACATTTAGCGTTGCCGCGATAACAGAACAATAATAACAAAGCGAAAACGTCTATATTTAAAACAAAACAATACTAGCTGCTGTATTCGGTTTTGCCCACATAAACAAAAAGAAAAAAAAACTTATTCAAAATCAAAAAAATCACAAACATATGGCAAGTGCTGAGAAGTCGCTGACATAGCCCGACAGATTAGCAAGCTAAAGTGGCAATGGGCAGGGCACACAGCACGCAGAACAGACGGCCGATGAGGCAGCAAGGTTCTGGAGTGGAGACCCCGTACCGGAAAATGCAGCGTGGGTCGTCCACCCAAAAGGTGGACCGACGACCTGATAAAGGTAGCAGGAAGGCGCTGGATGCAGGCCGCTACCAACCGTGCGATGTGGAAGTCATTGGGGGAGGCCTATGTTCAGCAGTGGACGTCCTGTGGCTGAAATGATGATGATGATGAACTAAACTCACCATATACTCCCCGGGTAGTATAAACTTGCAAGGCTGGCCGTATTCTTGCGGGTAGTTGGTGAATGCTATGACCGTCTTGGGTGTCAGTCCATCACCGAAGATTCTGTAAGAAAGATCACGTTAAAAATGTTAAATAATGCCACTAATTTTAATAACTTTCCTAACAACATACATTTTATTTCTGTTGCGAAATAGTTCTTATCACAGACAGCAGGTCTCCCACTCGGTGGACCGATGATCTAATAAGGTCGCGGGAAACACCTGGATACGGACAGCGCAAGGACCGTTCTTTGTGGAAATGGAAATCCTTGAGATCTTTGTATAAATGAAATGCCTGAAATCATGACTGGGAATCGAATCCGTGTTCTTTAAGGTCTTAGCACAAATCCACAGAGCTTCTAGCCGTCCTAACGAAGAATACCATGAAATAATGATCCTTACAGCATGTTTCGTATAGACACAGAATAATAGGCATTTCCAGGGCAGATATGTACCATCCTAGACTGCATCCCATTTAACATCAGGTGCAATTGTGGTCAAATACCTGCCTTGTTATCCATAAAAAAAATGTACTTCGGTATAGACGGCAGTATCATTTACAACATTTTTCGTTAGAATGGCAACATGATGGTAACAAACTTGACTTTCACTGGTTGGTTTTATTGGCGTCAAGCAGCAGATCCTGGCTACACAGGAGTTGCCCGAGTTGCAGCGGTGGGAACTTAAGAGTTGGGAATAGTCCCGTAATAGAAGCAGGTATAGAACTATTTCAACTGACCTGAGCGTAACTCCAGTATCAGCCAATACACTTGGTACCCCATCCTCCACGATCTTCGGCTCCTTAGCTGAATCCTCAACCCTGATCCCATCCACACTCACAAACTGATTTACAGCTCTTACACTCGAAAATTCTCCATCACCCGACACTTGTCGTTCCGTTCTGCTCTTGGAATCGTCTAGCGTTGTCCCTTTCTGTTCTACTTCTTTTTTATCTCCCGTCTCCCTTTTCGTTCGCTCCGATTTGATCTTCTCTATTTCCTCAATCAAATCTTCAATGGTTGTCTCCGTACTCTCTTCTAAACCTTCCAATTCGTCAGGGTACATTTCTTCTATAACATCATCATCATTAACTTCGTCGGTATCGCGCTTATCCCTATCATAGTCTTCAGTATCCGCTTGGATTTCGTTGAAGTCGACGTTCTTTATGTCGTTTACGTTATTCAAAGGTACGTATTGGTTGTTAATAAAGAGTTCGATGTCGTTGCTCTCCTCTCTAGTAGGTCGGTTGACGGTCGGCAGTTGGTTCACGTCGATGTCATGGGATAGGTCCGCCCATTGCGTATCTGCTTCAAGATTTGCCTTCCCTGTTGAGGTTTGGCTGTGGACAAGAAGAGAATGGGGTTAGAAACAGTTTTTTTCGATTCAGTGCCTTATGGATACCAAAACAGGATAGTGCCTCCGCTGTCTACGTTATGTATTGCCGCTATCTATACTAATATTATAAAGCTGAAGAGTTTGTTCATAGTAAACTAATATAAGGGGAAATGGATCATACAAAAGACGTGTTTTGTCTGGTTTCGTTTTAAGAAAATATTCGTATAATACAAACAGGTTTTCATAGTATAATAGTGAAATGGCCAACAGTATGTACTTGACAGACATTTAGATTTTCAGAAGATTATGTTTAGTCTATCCACATCACAATAAAAAATGTTATGTTCGGACGACGGCATTCAATGTAAACACTACCACCTAGTTAGAATAGGAGCTATTTTCCTACAAAAATGCAGTGTTATGTGCTATCGACAGCACTAAAGAACTACGCGTTTTTATTTGTTCATGTGTTATTCTTTTCTATTAAAGTTTCATTTTTATTGATATGACGCATTGCTTTAAAAGTTTAGATCTTAGAGCCACAACACACGTCATGGTACTCTTAGCCTAAGCGCAGACCACCGACTTTTAGTCGGCCGATAGTTGGACCCGATTCTGATTTGTATAAAGAATAGGATAGTTTCCTAAAAAAATTTTTTTAGTCCGTCATGTTTAATATCAAAAAATATTGGACACATATATTTTTATTTGTCAATATAACAAATAATTACATAGTTATGGTGCGTTGAAGTTCTGCACAACGTCACAACGTGCGGCACTTTTATGCAAGCATTGACGTCACGGGCCTCTTCTTATGAACTTTGGCGCGCTTTATCTCTTTAAATTTTCATTAGTTTGAAAAAGTGAAAAATACGTGTAGAGTATTTTTTGATAAGTTAACTGACGGACTAATTAAAACTCTTGCTTTTTGACCCAGGAAACATCCCTATTGGCCGATAACAAATCGGTATAATGTGCGCACTTTCATACATGTCCATACTGATATTACTGATTAACAGCCCGACCCAAATATCGGCCAACTAAAGTCGGAGGTCTGCGCCTAGGCTTAGTATCGGCGATCGGCGATTTTGCGACAATATCGACATTCATACTTTAGGACACTTCGGACGCGGAATGGTAATCGCGCGTTTCAGCGACTGTCGCTGCGTCGGGCTTCCGCAAAGCGACTCAATCGCCGCGTTTGGCGTTTTTAAGTGTGCAGTGTAGAATATGTGGTCCCTGCATTCAGCTTCTACTTGTGACTTGTCCTATGTCCTCTAGATGGGGCAGATGGCGTCCACAACAGACCTCCATCGTGTTCGGTCTTGAATTTCGCGTTTCAGCTTCTAGAAAGCCTAAATCGCCGTTCGCCGATACTAAAGTAGTATGTATGCTGTGGCTCTTAGACAACCTTCAGAGTAACAATAAAAGTTTTATTTCAATTTTACGGTCTATGGACGAGTAGTTCGAGAGTTGTATCGAGGGTAATAAGTCCCAGGTTCGGTAGTAGTTAAAAATCCGGTCAAGTGCGAACTCAAGGAAAGCAGTGGAAAGGGGGCAAGTATGAGATGACTTTCCGAGCTACGATGATGCAGTAGTGTAGTGTAGTAAGTACAGGTCTAATTAAGGTCTTCGTTCGCTCGTTTCAGCCACATGATGTCCACTGTTGACTGTGACAAAGGCCACCCCCAACCCCATGGATTTCCACAAAGACCTGTCCTACGTTGCCCGCATCCAGGTATTCCCCGCGACCTTCACTAGATCGCCAGTCTACCTAGGTTCGTGGTTGCCACTTAAGAAGTTTTCTGTTCTCCCTCAGCAGTCATCAGTTCTAGGAGCTATGTGTTAAGTTTGCAAAGCAATTCATGTTGTCATTTCATTCGATCACGCAGGGAAACTCCGAATCTTAAGTTCTTAGTTCGTTGAAACTATTTATTTATTTATTTAAAGACTTTATTGCACACACATAACAATGTTCAGTACAAAAAGGCGAGCTTAATGCCATAAGTCATTCTCTACCAGCTGACCTTGAGCAAAACAGATATTGAGTAGGCGGTGCTAAAAAGATGCTAAAAAACTATGTCAAATTCGTATTCGAATAGCAATATCACTTCTTAACTCTCATCTATAACTCAATTTTATAAAATCCCAGTGCAACCAATAAAAACGTTTATCAACATTCAGATAAGCTTCAAAATGGTATCACGGGTGACTCACGACACTAACCGTCGTAGTACACTTGGCAGGTTGCCAAGTAAACTGGACGGTGATCCCAATGGCGCGCCAAGTTCTATGGCAGTGGGGTGGCCATAGTATAGTTGTCCAACACTGAACCGTCTCAGTATTTTCATTGTCATGAGGGCGCTACTATTAATACTGGATTAGGTACTAGTTCTGATTTTTTCCACGTTGCACAACTATAAAATTATGACGTTAATAAGTAGGGCGCTATCAATACTGAGTTCCGATTTTTGCCAGAGATGCCAGCCTTCACTCAGAGATGGTGAACGAGGCCCAATATTGTCTGTGACGAACCAAACCCATATTGTGTCGCAAAAAGTCACAGAATCTGTGAACAGATAAACCCATCTCTAGTTGGCTACTCCCTTCAGTCAATAACGTCCACGGTTGGACAAAGGGAGGCCTTTCAGGAGGCCAAGGATTTCCATAATGACCGGTCCTACGCTGCCCGCATCCAGGTACTTCCCGTCTTCCCTTCTACTTTCACCAGATCGTCGGTTTACCTAATGGGGGGCTTGCCCACAATATGTCTTCAGTCCCATAACTCCCATATATCCGCGATTATTAACAAACCATGGTGCACCCACTAGACATAACGCTTGCATAACAAATCACTCTCGGCGCACGTGTTCTGCGGGTGTTCTGATATTTGACACGCGATGAGAAGCAGCAGATGCATGAGGAATGCACAATAATGCATTTATTTGGTACAATAAATTAGATGAAACAGTTATAACAGCTTCAAACTCCTCCTATGTTCTTTGGTTACGGATCCCAGGACAGTTTAACTTTCTTCCAGGACCAAAACTCACGTCACTATTGGCGGTCAAGCTGTAGATCCTGGCAACAGAAGTTGCACTGGTGGGAACGAGGGAACATCCCAGAAAGTTGCTTTCTATCAGCTTTTACGCCTTGAAAAGACCCGAATTAGTGTACTGGAAAGACAGCAGAAGGAAGCGAATTTCAGTCTCTAGCTGTCCGCATTAATGTTTTAGAAGAACAAGGTCCCTTTGACCTTCGATACCCAGGATCTTTAGTATAATACGGTTCTGAAGTGATCCAGGAATCACACAGGTTTTATTTGGTTAAATATTTTTCCATTAACCGGCAGTTCTCCAACCGGGCGGTGTTGTGACGTGTGACCTATTTCCTGGGCAATGACGCACACGGCCCTTCGCAATATTGGCGTATTCGTTATACGTTATATCATATTTTGGATATATTGCCAGAATACGTTGCTTCTTTGTTTTGTAGTCAGATCACTGCTTGGCAGTGCCGGATTTACCCTAAGGGCTATATTTCACCGGGACACCATGGCGGCGCAACCAGTCGCCGGCTACCAACAAAATGTATACAGCTCTATAGAGAGTTACTCACCTGGCGTCCATTTGGTTGCGCAAAGCTGCATACATTTTGTTGGTAGCCGGCAACTGGTTGCGCCGCCATGGTGTCCCGGTGAAATATAGCCCTAACTCTCTATAGAGCTGCATATAATTTGTTGGTAGCCGGCGACTGGTTGCGCCGCCATGTTGTCCCGGTGAAATATAGCCCTAAAGTAAATTACTTAAGTAATTGCTTAGTGCCTTTTTTCTGTATATGCGGATTTTGGCACGCGTGCGGATCTGGTCTTCATGCGGACTGCCTCCGCATTTCATTATTGCATTCATGTTTTTCCTCCGATGATCCGCAGGGGTGCAGAAATCCGCATCACAGTAAAAAGGAACTAAGAAATTGAGGAATAACAAAAAAGGAACTTAGAGCATCACGTCTTTGAAGGACCAAAAAACTGCTAGCACATAACATATAATTATGTGTCATCAGTCTGTGCCTGAATTTGAACTTTCTTGTCCACTTAATAGATAAGTCAATCAAGCTTTATACGGTGGCAACCTACGTTGTTGTAATAATGATATTTTTAAACAAAAATGTATAATCTTATGCGCGTGGTCGTATTGATTCGTTTCAGACTGTACGACGCCGCGGCGCCCATCAAAGAAACTTATTATTATTTGAGAAAAAAAAATGGCCGCCCTCGTTACGCCCCAGTGACTGTGCAGTGTCTGTCTATTCTGGCATTGATTGTCACTTGTTTATTTTTAACGCGCCTGATCAGACAGACTGGCGTCAAATATCTGCATTTTAAATCTTGTTTACAACTTTTAATCATACTGATCAGGATGTGACGTAATTATTTTCGCATTATGTCTGGACGGACGCACGGTTGGTACCGGACGACGGAAACGTACCGGAAAGCGCAGCGTAGGACGTCCACCCACAAGGTGGACCGACGACCTCATAAAGGTAGCAGGAAAGCGCTGGATGCAGGCCGCTCTGGTCATTATGGAAATCATTGGGGGAGGCCCATATGTTATGCCTATGTTCAGCAGTGGACGTCCTATGGTTGAAATGATGATGATGTATCTGGAATCTCGGCTTTTTACAACCAATCCATGAAACTTTTTAAATAAGGACTAAAAAAGATTAAAAACACTTAGTTTGAAAACACTCATCTCTGCCTTGGCACAGTTAGTTTTCTATTTGCTCATAAATAAATTTTTTAATGGCTTTAAAATAGACAATTACTTAGTCAATTGCGTTCGTGCACTAGAGAAGTCACAGGGTTTGACGTGCAAAATCTATTTCATAAAAAAGATACAGACGAACAAGAACCTTTTTGTTAGAAGTCGGTTAAAAATACGTCAATTTATTGGTGAATTCTCTGGTGATATCCAATACCATAATAATATAATATCATAACACTAC